ACTACTACTGCTGCTGCTGCTGCTGGTACTACTACTACTACTACTACTACTACTACTACTACTGCTACTACTACTACAACAACAACTACTACTACTACTACTACTACTACTACTACTACCTACTACTACCTACTACAACTACTACTACTACTACTACTACTACTACTACTACTAGCCTCGGACGGCAGCCCAAGTCCGGTATGAGCTTTGCAGTCGTTCCCCAGAAGTTGGTGGAGCGCTTCGGATGCATAGCATGCATCCCTTTGTGCCACATGGGCCCACATGGGCGATGATCAATCTCTTGTTCCAGAGAAAGCATAGCATAATATATCATATCATAGTAGATATATTGTAGTATGGTATAATGCGGTATGGTATAGTATGATGTAGTACAATATAGTATAATATAACATAATACAATGGGAAAGCTTCAGTGGTAGCACTCCTCTGCGGACCGCTTTGTAGACTCACGTTGTCACTGTCCCATCGTCTGGCGACTGATGCTGCTACTGTGGCCAAGCTGCTAAGGAAACGCGACCATATATACTCCCACCAGGCACCCTGAAGACTTTCATTTCTCATAAGGTACTGGACGGGTGGGATGGGTGATGCAAAAAAGAACTCCGTCGCCCTAAACCCTGTATAAACCTTAAACTCCAAAACCCTAAAAGCCGGAAACCCGGAAGCCCTACACCCGCAGCCCGGGCCGAGAAGTGACGTGCTTGAGCCATGAAGCTTAAGCTGGCGGCCACAAGCCCTCGACCCTAACGAGTAGATGGCACACCATGGCACACCTCGAGCCGAACCAAGAGTATTTTTAGGTGGCGGGGTGTGGGATTTAGGGCGCCTATTTGGTATGCACTATTAGCCCTTCAACCCTTCTGGACCCTATATTTGCCCCTCCTGCAGCCCAGCGGACAAAGATATCGGTCCAACAACTTTACACCAATCAACCATGGTTCTCATTGTGAGGGGAGCATTCCCTTCAACTTGGCCGTGAACGCCACGACGCCCGGTCGTGCCGCGCTGCTCTTCGAGGCGTTGCCCTTGTGATATCATATAGCATTAGATACTAGCAGTATACGATGATGTGAGTGGATATAACATAATTAAGATAATATAATCTAACTTGGTATAGTATAGCATAGTACGAAACCTTATATTATATTTCAACATAATGTAATATATTATTCTATAATGCAATAGAATGTAATCTAGTATAGCAGAAAATAACAACACAATATATAACATGTTAAAACTACTGTAATATATTTTTTTTATTTAATTTCATACAGTTGTTTTTTAGGTTGGAGCGAGACTTGGAAGGCTCGGCTCGTTGTAGGTGCGGCTCGCCTTAGTCATGTTGTTGTGGGCTGCAGTTGTGTTGCTGTCATCGCTGTTGCTGTTCTTGTTGTTCTTGTGGCTGCTAATGGCGGTGTCGGTGGTGAGGATCTCCGAGTACTACCGTAGCTTTTTCGGTTTTCAACTAGCCGCTAGCCATGTCTCCTTCTCCTACTGATGTTGCAATGCTCCTGGTCAGATTAAATTTCCAGCCCAATGGGCGGTGCTCATGTAGTTAACCATGTGGGGTATGCCAGTTCTGAGCCAGATGTACAAGAAGCTGCTGCTGCCACCGCTGCTCCTCTCGGTGATGAAGTCAGAAGAGGGGCAAGGAGGGCAAACATGCGGTATGTCGATGATGATGATGATGATGATGGTGGGGGTGGTGGTATGAGTGCCGCAATGATGGCGATGCCAACGACGATGCTGATGCAGAAGCTGTACCCATGATGTTCTTACTGCGTCAGTTGCTGTGAATGCTGTGTTGGTTGTGTTGCTATGAAGTAGCAGTACAACGACGACAACTGTCACTACCGCTACGTACCTGCGACGACGACGACGACGATGACGGCGACTTCGCTACTGTAAGCAACCATGACCTTTGCTATTTCTATCACTTCGTCTGTGTCTCACTGGGTAGAACTACTTAACACGATATGGCACGGTCTGCGGACTGACCCAGAAGTGCTTGTCAGCCATCGTGGGCCCTCAACCTTAAACCCTCGACCCAAAAACCCTAAAGCCCTGGAATCTCTTTATAGAACCCTGATCCCTATAAAGCAATCCTTACAGATCCCTTTGAAGGGGTTTTAAAACGCCCAGGCCAGCTCCCGATTGAACCCAAAAGCCGCTGAGCTGATTCTTCTGGTGCGCCGCTGGGCCAAGGACTCCGACCCGATGTTTTAAAAGGGATCTATGGTTTAGGGTTTAGGGTTGAGGGGTTACGGGCTCCTTCAAAGGGATCTACCTAAAAGTGGGTCTATTAGGGTTCCTTTAGACGGATCTACAAGGGTTCCTTTAAAGGGATCTGTAAAGATTCCTTTAAAGGGATCTATCAGGGTTCCTTTGAAGGGATCTGTGGGGTTTAGAGTTTAGAGGTTAGGATTACCTAAGCCCTAAACCCTAAACTCTAAACCCTAAACCCCAAACCCTAAACCCCAAACCCTAAACCCTAAACTCTAAACCCTAAACCCTATGCCCTAAACCCGTAAACCCTAAACCCTCAAGAAATAAATGAATAGAAATTGCTTGTTGCTGTTGGCGATCCGGAAACTTGTTTTTTTTTCGGTCGGGACACAGTCTCTCCATTTCTAATAAACCAATTTCAGTTTCAGAAGCAAAACAACCCACCCACGATGACCCAGCACGAACCAACCCAAGCCCCCCGCACTCCAGCCAGCCAGCAGCCCCCATCCCAGCCCAGCAAGCCCAAAGCCATAAAATCCCAAACCCTAAAGCCCTAAAGCCCTAAACCCTAAAGCCCTAAAGCCCTAAACCCCTAAAGCCCTGAAGCCCCAAACCCGAAAACCCTAAAGCCCTAAACCCTAAACCCTGAACCCCTAAAGCCCTAAACCCCCAAACCCCAAACCCCTAAACCCCAAACCTCAAACCCTAAACCCTAAACCCTAAACCCTAAACCCTAAACTCCTAAACCCTACCCAAATCCCAAAACCCTATACCATACGGCCATTCGAGGCGGAGGAGAGGGGGGAAG